TTTTTTTTACATCACGTATCATCATGGTAAACTTTGTTTTAAATAAAATCCTGTAATAAGTTTTATAGACACAGTTTTCACTTTTTATTTTTTTAAACTGTAAGACTATAATTACATTTATAATATTTCTGCTGTTCAAAGGCGAATTACCATAAACTAATTTTCCAGGGTAAACATGTTTTTCCATGACAATTATGAGTCAACAAGAAACAGTTCTCAAATGTGAAATTTACTGTTTCAGCAAAAGTCAAACATCGTCGTCGTAAAATTCTGTCAACAGTTGTGTCCAAAGATTCTGAACCAACGGTTCAGTTTCTGTCTTTGTATAACATGCTTTTCATAAGCAGAACTAAATGAAAAAGCATTTAGGAGCCAAAAAATATATATCTTTTGTGTGTGTGTATTTTTACTTGTCTAAATCATTTAGTTTGATCATGTATATATTAAACTATTTAAAGTCCTACAAATAACTTTAAAATTTCAGGCTAACGTTGATTTTAACTGTAGACATTAATTATTAAATAAAATACATATTTTTAAAAAGTAGAAAATAGTTCTATTTCTAACCGCAGCAAATCATTTTGCTTCTACTTGTTTGATTATGGGAGGCCCAAAATAGATCAGTTTTCAATAATTTTGCTGTGGGTTGTTTGTATTGGATTGCAGGTTTAAAACAAGCCAAAAGAGTTTCCTCTTATTTCCACCAGGCCACTCAGGATTAATGTTTAAAATAAAAATAAATATGTAAATCATTTTTAAATCCATGCTTTTCATTATTATTACACTGATTTCACTTCAGGCATATCTTAAGAAGTACGGCTACCTGCACGTCTCTCTGGACAGAAAAGATCTCAACCATCCACCTGAGAAAATAACAGATGCACTGAGGTGACTGTCTTAAATGTATTTCATCTGTTGCTTGTGATTTATCTGAATCAAAGTTCGTTCATTTTCTGTAAATCTCAGAGTTTTTCAGAAAGTGGCCAATGTTCAGATGTCAGGAAAACTGGATGCGCCCACGTTGACAATGATGAACAAGCCTCGCTGCGGTCTGGAGGATTCTTTCAGTAACCAGCCCCTCAAATATCGAGTCATGGGTGCGCAGCTTTGTAATATAACTTACAATCACAGCACAGTCGAAAAGAAATACTCATTCTGGTTGTCACTGAACAGGCTACTGGCGTAAGAAGATGCTGACGTACCGCATCTATAATTACACTCCTGACCTGGGTCCAGGAAAAACCCGTCAGGCCATCCAGAGTGCCTTTAGGTATTGGAGCGAAGTGTCGCCTTTGAGGTTCATCGAGCTGCATCAAGGACGGGCAGACATCAAAATCTCCTTTCACAGGAAGGATAAATCCTGTCCGGTGCCCTTTGATGGACCAGGTATGAAAAAAAAAAACCACACACACAATCACAGAGAGGTGTCTGAAGCTAGAGCATTTTAAAGTGAAGTTCTATCAAATACTTCTCAGTATCAGCTGTGATAGAGAAGAGGAACAGTTTTTATTCAGGCTGTTTAATAATATTAATCAACTCTTTCTCAAAAAACAATACACCAGTGGAAAAAGCTATTATTGTGTCACCGTTTTCTCAATCAAACAACATGTGAGTGTATGTGTGCTGAAGCATATAGACCAGGCTGTGAGCACATCAGTCCGCTGGATTATCACATTTAGTCAGTCCAAATGTTTTAAACTCCCAGCGGACTGATACATCCACAGCCTTGGCACCATCTGCATGTAACAGCTTATCTACTCAACACATACATTAGCATAAAACACACGTTCTGTCACAAACCAAACACAAAGTGTCATGCAAAAGTGTAGAAGCTCAATATTGACTGATATGAATTCATCATTAACTGATGAAATCCACACAGGTTGTTGTTTYTGTGTAAGTGTTTTATAGACCTAAAAAACAATGGAAAAATATGGCCCTTGATAGTTTGTTCGGGCTAGGCTAATGGCTAGCCAAAGACTTTTGTCTCTTTATATTCTGTAACTGTTGATAACTATTAGACAGAATATCAGACTAMCTCTAAATAAAGAAACTTCTTAAGCGAGAAGATCATTAAATAACCCTGAATTGTCAATAAGACTTGTTTTCCTGCCTGTAGGTCATGTTTTAGCCCATGCTGACGCCCCTGAATCAGGACTGGTGCACTTTGACGAGGATGAATTGTGGACGGAGGGGACGAACTCAGGCTCTAATCTGAGGATTGTGGCAGCTCATGAGATYGGCCACGCTCTTGGCCTGGGCCACTCCCAGTACTACAGCGCGCTGATGGGACCAATATACGGTGGATACCGCACCGACTTCAAGCTGCACCCAGAYGATATCCGAGGGATCCAGGCTTTGTACGGTAAATAATACAGGAATGTTTTCAGACAGGAGAAATTGTTTTGTTTGAGGCATTATTTATGCATATGTATTTGTCCTTTTTCAGGAAAGCCAGAGAACAGTGTTCCACCCAGAAATCCTAACCCAAAGGGAGTCGCCACAGATCTGTGCAAGGCCTCTCTGGATGCAGTGATGTTAGGTACAGAGACTCTAACACGGTCAAACTGAAATAAAACATGCTTCCCTCTTCAGGAAGAAGACTCTGTCGTATTTTTTTTCTTGCGTTGTGTCCCTGCAGGTCCTTCAGATAAAACATACATGTTCAGCAGACAGTACGTGTGGACGAGGTCCAGCTCTGGACACAGCTCTCCCACTGTGATTTCTGCTCTGTGGAAAGAGCTGCCGGGGAGCCTCGATGCAGCTGTTTATTCACCGAGGACTGGAAAGTCCTACTTTCTGAAAGGTAGATCTATTACTGATCCTGGCAAACTTCCATGTACTGTAAATTTATACCTTTTYCTCAGTACGTTTCAGTTATTGCAGCGTTTATACGACATATCTCACCTGCACGTGTCCTTTCACAGGAGACAAAGTGTGGAGATACACTGGTTTCAAACTTGACAAAGGCTTCCCCAAACGTTTGACCAGCATCCCTGCAAACATTGACTCGGCCCTTTACTTTCCTAAAATGAAAAAGCTGATCTTTTTAAAAGTAAGAAACAGATTTACTTCAGCATGTTTTTGTGAATGAACAGCTACCTTACTTTAAAATAATTCCTGTTTTGTTTGTAGGGATCAGGGTACTGGCCTTGGGATGARATTAGTCCTACAGACCTCCGTTCTTACCCCAGGCCCATCAAGGAGCTTTTTAAGGGGGTCCCCAGCAGCATTAATGCAGCTGTAACGTGGACTGATGGCAATGCATACATGTTTAAAGGCAACCAGCACTGGCGCGTGAACCAGAGGCATCAGATGGTGGAGAAGAACTATCCTGTGGACACCGCCTCTCACTGGATGCAGTGTGATGACTGAGCCAGCAGAGGGCAGCAGAGATCCAACACCAACCTGAGCCACACGATTCATTTGAAAAAGAGAAGTGTGGGTGTGAAGGTTAACATCTGCCTGTATTAACTGCTGACTCATAATTTGTCATGTTTCTGAGAACATATACCCTTCATACTGTCAACTCCGGCTGTTATTATCATAAAAACAGTCGCAGCTGTGGATCATTTAAAATCAGATGAGACAAATAATAATTATTGATTAGAATTTTTTTTAACAGTTACTTCATGTAGACTGTAGCAGACTTCCACGTGTTACACTGAGGCAACTGGTGAATGTACTATCCTTTTGTGTGCATATTTCTAATGTGGGATATGTGAAAAATATGAAATATATTTTCTGGATACATTTTAAAACATCAAGCTAAGAGAAGGAAACAAAAAGATGTTGCCTTGGCAAATTTTAAATCAATGGTGGTTTTGAATCAAATAAAAAAAAGTCTGACACAGTCACACAGATTGAAGTCCACCCTACTTTCACCTGAGCAGGTGTCTCAAACGGTCAGATTAGTTTAAATCAGCTGGTGGATCCCGGGTCTTTAAAGGATGAGGATTACCTGCTGAGAAAGTCTGCCTCGCACACATAAACAGACGGACCTAATGCTGGTGAATTGGATCAGCTGGCAGGTTTCTATGGATGAATCAAAACATTCAGCCTCCTAATGTCTGGGTTTACTTTGGCTGCACTTTTCAAAAAGTCTAAAGTGTGTTAATAATGAATTAAAAAACTTCAAACATGTCAGAATTAAAGTTTAATTAGAAATTCACTTTAGTGCAAAAAGCTTTTCTTGTCTTACAATAGAGTAAAGGTTTGGTTGTAATTACTTATAAAAATAAATAGGTGTTTTTGTCCTTGAATTCTTAAAATGATAATGGAAATATTGGATAATTTCTAACATAAAAAGGGGAAAAAACAGACAGGTCTGCAAAGCTGCTGTCAAAGCAATACYCTTTCAATGAAATAAAAAAGTTTTAAAAATGGGAGCTTCCTGTGGACTGAATCAAGATCTGCTTTTTTTCTGTGTTAACCATTAACTCTCAATTATTTTTTAAATAACTGGCTATTCTTTGTATTTTTCTACTGGCCTTAAAAATGAAACCATAACCAGTTTGAGCTACATTTCTTTATTTTTAAATAAATCATAAAATAAATCTCCAGAAACAGCCCTCACACTTCAGTCCAAGTGGTTTTTTGTAGACGTTTTTGTTCACAATACAGATGAATATGAAGAGATGTTTTATTTTAAATTGTGGTTCTGTGAAAGAGTTATGAACAATTAATATCTTACCTGTTTTAGATACCTATTAAAACAACCTCGGTTTGGGGAAACAGAGTTTAATTTTGAGCAAACAGCTACTTTGTGTGCAACTAAAATCAAAGTTGGTTGTGTCATCACTTCAAACAACTCCACTTTCAAAATTTATTGTCAATATTGTTTCTGAGACATTTACACCACCACCAGTTTCACATACTTTCCAGGCAATTCACTAAATTTACATGAACTTTTATGCTAATTTGTGCGTATCGTACAAATAGCTGCAGCAGCAGCTAGCTATAGCGTGTCCAGCGCAGACTGGGACACACCCCTGTAGAAGTCTCATATTTCCGCTAGAATAGCTGTGTGATGATAAAATTAAGATGATGCAGCTTTGAAAAACAATTTTGGGTCAAACTGGTAAAATTTGGAAGAAGAAAGAAGTCATTACAGAGGAAGTGAGCCAATAATACCGACAATCAAAAATTGACTTAATTATAGACCAAAAGTTTGGACAAACCTTCTCATTCAAAGAGTTTTCTTTATTTTCATAACTATGAAAATTGCAGATTCACAGGTAGTCACCTGAAATGGTTTTCACTTCACAGGTGTGCCCTCTCAGGTTTAATAAGTGGGAATTTTTGCCTTATAAATGGGGTTGGGACCATCAGTTGTGTTGTGCAGAAGGTGGATACAGTACACAACGGATATTCCTACTGAATAGACTGTTAGAATTTGTATTATGGCAAGAATAAAGCAGATAAATAAAGAAAAATGAGTGGCCATCATTACTTTAAGAAATAAAGTCTGAAAAATTGGGAAAACTTTGAAAGTGTTCCCAAGTGCAGTCGCAAAAACCATCAAGCGCTACAAAGAAACTGGCTCACATGAGGACCGCCCCAAGAAAGGAAGACCAAGAGTCACCTCTGCTGCGGCCGATAAGTTCATCTGAGTCACCAGCCTCAGAAATGTCAGGTTAACAGCAGCTCAGATTAGAGAACAGATCAATGCCACACAGAGTTCTAGCAGCAGACACATCTCTAGAACAACTGTTAGAGGAGACTGTGTGAATCAGGCCTTCATGGTAAAATAGCTGCTAGGAAACCACTGCTAAGGACAGGCAACAAGCAGAAGAGACTTGTTTGGACTAAGAACAAAAGGAATGGACWTTAGACCAGTGGAAATCTGTGCTTTGGTYTGATRAGTCCAAATTTCAGATCTTTGGTTYCAACCACCRTGYCTTTGTGCGACACAGAAAAGGTGAACGGATGGACTCTACATGCCTGGTTYCCACMGTGAAGCATGGAGGAGGAGSTGTGATGGTGTGGGGGTGCTTTGCTGGTGACACTGTTGGGGATTTATTAAAAAATGAAGGCATTAGTGAACCAGCATGGCTACCACAGCATCTTGCAGCAGCATGCTGTTCCATCCAATTTGCATTTAGTTGGACCATCATTAATTTTTCAACAGGACAATGACCCCAAACACACCTCCAGGCTGTGTAAGGACTATTTGACCAAGAAGGAGAGTGATGGGGTGTTGCAYCAGATGACCTGGCCTCCACAGTCACCGGACCTGAACCCAATCGAGATGGTTTGGGGTGAGCTGGACCACAGAGTGAAGGCAAAAGAACCAAMAAGTGCTGAACATCTCTGGGAACTCCTTCGAAACTGTTGGAAAACCATTTCAGGTGAAGCTCTCAAGAGAATACCAAGAGTGTGTGAAGCAGTAATCAAAGCAAAGGTGGCTGCTTTGAAGAACCAAGAATATAAAACATATTTTCAGTTGTTTCACACTTTTTTGTTAAGTATATAACTCCACGTGTGTTAATTCATAGTTTTGATGCCTTCAATGTGAATCTACAATTTTCATGAAAACGAAACCTCTTTGAATGAGAATGTGAGTAGATCCATTTTCAAAGCATATTTTGACATTTTTAAACAACTCCAGTCTTTAAAAATTTTAAATGATTCATGCAAACATAATTTTCTAACATAATTTAAATTGATTTATTTGGCAGGGACAAGGCCCATTAATTGACATTTTTGTAAATGCGCCACAACTAGCCAAAGGCTATTTTTCATCTGTTGTCCCCTAAATTGCTAAAAACAAACAAGATTAAAAATGACTCAATTACATATCATTTATCAGGTGTAAATGTTTACATCATCAGTTTGACATTACAATATTATTTTGCAAAAATATTAAAAACTTCCTGTCAAAAAAAATGACTCCAGGGTTCACAGGAAGTGCCACAACCAGATGCTGCTGCTATTTAACCAAAATAAATAAATAAATAAATCAAATAAAACCTAATGAAATCTATAAAAATCTGTGACACGAGGAGCTGATGGAGGAAAAGTCAATGAAACATTTTCTTGAACTGCTGTGAAATTATGGAGACTGAAGTTCTTTTAAGAAATCCACTTTAGTTCAGACGAGCTGTTAGAACATCACTTTAGTCAGGATTAAACTATTTTTCACTGAGGTCACTTAGCTATCTACAACAGGTAAGATAGTGACTGTATGTGACCCATATCTCTTTGTTTTTTTTGTTTTTTTTACAATTTTTTCCTGTTTGTATTACAAAACAAAAATAAATATAGACATGTCTAATTTATAAGCTGAATGAGTACAGTGATGTGAACAGTTCTCTTTATCTTCAAAAGAATTGAAAGAATTAAAAGTTTAATGCTGTTGGATTCTGTTTGTTTGGTTTGAAGACAGAGACAAACTGCTTAAAAGGAACTGCAATCATGAGCCTAACGACCACAGAGCCTAACGACCACCGAAGTTGCACCAATTTGTCTTGTAAAAACTAATGAAGTGGCGTCCGCACACCAAAAATAACACAGGATTCAAGCCAACAATTAAACAGCTGRAAGAGCTTTTGTGAAAGTGAACCATTGAAAATCAATATTTAATCAACACAATCTCACAACAGGTGCAGCAGATCTGTGCAGGTTCTTGAAACCACRCACGTTTGAGTCGGCAGCCCAACACATGGCTGTTCAGACTGTAAAGATGGGGGAGGCRGCAGTCAGAGGCATCATGGAGCCCGTCTCAAAGCTATAGTCAATCAGAGTGTGTGCGTTGGTGCTGATGCTGCTGGTGGACGAGCCTGTTCCCATCTGACGCTCCTGGAGTCTTTGGAGATAACTCTGGAGGACAGACAGGTGAGAGAAACACCGTCACCTCATCTGCTACAAATACTCAAACCTGTTGAGGCTCTTCAGAAAATCAGAGTTTATGCATTTTACATTTTCACACAGCCACCCACCGGTGCAAGGACGTCCCCAGCGTAGCGTTTCAGGGGCGGAGGTTTACGCTGACGATATGGCTGGGGTCTTCTTCTCGATTCTCTACATTTGTGCTTCAGATGATTCTTCTGTTTTTCATGTGCAGCTGGGGAACATCCAAAGGCATTATAATTAAACGACATGAAGCAAATAGAGTGGCTGCCTGGGAATGGTTGACTGAAACTCACTTTTCTTGTGTGAAACTCCCCTTGCAGTCAACCACCACTGCACCAGCACGCCTGCGACACTCAGAGCGGGACAGATCCCAGCGATCGCCCAGTTAAACCAGCAGAGCCGTCGTGGAACGACCTGACAAAACACGTCGTACACCTGATCCGGCAGCACGAACGCTCCCAGCAGGTAGTCCACGCACAGCGTCACGGTCGTTGCTCCAAACACAGACGTGTGGACGATGCTGAAGAGCTTCTGCCACTGCAGCGTGAACATGGCGGTGGAGATGCCGGCAGCCAGTACGGCACAGAGAGGCACCCACGCCGGAGACAGGCTGTAAAAATGTCCAATCACCACCAACACAGAGAGGGAGAGCAGGCTCCCCAGCTGCAGGCCGCCGAGGAGGAGTCCCAGCGTGGACACTGTCATGGTCATCAGCCCGCTCAGAACTCCCACTCCCAGGCCGATGCCTGCCTTGGTCTCTGCTTCCAGCTGGCTGTTCAGGTCAGGCTCTTTATGGTAGAAGAGGAGCACGACTGCTGAGCCAAACATGAAACCCGACAAGAACATGACCACCTTAAAGCAGCGGTATCCTGGAGAGAGGAAGGAAAACAGAGCTAGAAATGTCTCTTTAACTGGTATATACACACAAACAGTTTCACCATTATCTGCTCAATTCTCTGAAGCTCCACTAATACTTTTGAGCCCAAAATACTCTCATCATATCTGACTAAATAATAAAGTAGARCATTTCTAATGTCCAAATAGCATTAACTTGGTAATGCTGTATTTTAAGCTGAAAAAAACAACAACATTTCATTATTATAACTGTACAAGACGTGTGAAGAGAATCAAGGTTTGACCTCTTGAGCCCCGTGCAAAACAGCATTTTCCGTTTTCTATTTCTTTTAACTTCTTTTAACTTAGGATCGGTCAGTTGAACCTGGACAAGTTTGGTATCAAAAGAAACCTACGAATCTTGGCTAAAAGCTCATGGAAAATATTTTTACATCCACCAAACACAATTCAAACAACCAGCAGCTGAATCAGAAAGTAAACAAACTGAACAAAATGGCATCGTTGTAAATCTGCAAAAACATTCAAGCAAATCTGTGCAGGGAAAAAAAATTCTCTAGATTTTGAGTGAATATG